TAATCTATTCCACTGGTCCTCAGGTCTGTTTCTTTGCCAGTACCATGCTGTTTTTATCACAGTAGCTTTGTAGTATAGTTTCAAGTTGGGGATTTCAGCCATATCTCTGTTGCCCAGAATTGCTTTTGCTATTCTAGGTTTCTTCTGCCTCCAAATGAATTTTTGGATTGTTTTCTCTAGTTCTGTGAAGTATATTGTTGAAATTTAAATCGATATTGCATTAAATCTATATAGCAGTTTTGGAAGTATGGCCAGCCTTCTTTATTTTTAAGCTCTCCATCTAATCTAGTACTCTATGAAGTTTTTTTCCTTGCAGACCTTTCTTCTTTGTCCCCAGTACAGAGCTCCAATCTGTTTTGAAGAATAAGCAAGAGTTACTGCCTTTTTGGTCAGTTTCAGTGACTTTTGGACCCCATGCCTCCTCTTTTCTTGGTTTCTTATTTTATTTCATTATGACTCATCCTCAAATAGCTTTCTCAAAAAAAGTTAAGAAGTAAATTTTCTGAATGGTTACAGTCTGGAAATGACCTTATTTTATTCCTCAACTCATCCAAAAACATTTGCTAAATATTGATTTCTAATTTGCTAATTTTTCTCCTGGAAACATCCATGCTTTATGCTCTTATCTGATGAGAAGTCTAATGAACTATCATTGTCACGTTCCTTTGTGGATGTACCGGTTTTTTCTCCCTTTCTGGCAGGCTTTTAACATTTCCTTTACTCTTGGTATCTGAAGCATTCCATTTATGTGTTTTTTATTCATCATGCTTAATACATACAGATGCATATTCTGCAGCCCTGGAGAATTATTTTCTAGTGTCTCTTTCACAATCCCCTTTCTGTTTTCTTTTCAGTTTTATCTTCTTGGATGCTTGATGGCTGGATATTGGATCTCTCAACTTGATCCTCTCTTCTCTCTCATTATTTTGTCACTGTATATTTTCTAATGCTTTCTAAGAGATTTCCTCAAATTCATCTTCTAAACTTCACTTTGAATGTATTATTTGTACATGAACAGTACAATAATAGTAATTTACATTAGAATTGTTTTGTTCTCTTCTTTGAATAACATCCTGTTATTTTTTATGGATGAAACATCTTCCATCTCTCTGAGAAACTAGTTGTGAAAGTTTTTAGTATTGTTGTTTTCATTACTGAAATTATGTTTTTCCCAAGTCATGTTTTCTTCTTGTTTACCTTAATCTAGCTTTCCATAACATCTTCTTTCCCTATTATGTTATAAAAATAGTGATCAAAAGCTGAAGATACTTCTGCAGCTAAGGACAGAGCTGATTGGTTGAATTTGTTTGCAAGATCAGATGCGTCATACTGGATTCATCCTAAATGCTCAAACATGGTATCTTTCTCTGCTACTATTGACTTTCTTGCCTGGTGTCATGGGTGCCTTGTGGCACTATATATTAGGCATATGGATGGAAATATAAGGTAGGAAATCAGTTAGCACCCATAGAGCTCTTCTGTTTTCAGCTGCCCCTCATTTTCAAACTCTCCAGTTCACATGGGGCTCTGCGGGCCAGTCACCCTCTTCTCTGGTGAAGTGTAGAAGCTTCAACTGCTCCTGCCCTGCTCCAGACAATGCCACTCCTCCTCCATCAGTGTGGACTTCCGTCATCTATGGAAATGCCTCACCTTTAAAAAGCCCTTAGCAATTTTCTTGGTGTTCAGGCCTTATGACTTTTGTAATTGCATCGTGATCGTTTTAGAGAATTCTCAGAAAGAGGAGGAAAACGAGTGTGGTCACTTTTCCATCATTGGATGGCTCAACACCTGCTTTTTAAACTGCATGACTGCATAAACTTGACTTTATATTCATTTCTCTTGTACCTTAGTAATAACCAACAAAGCAGCCTCAACCCTGGTTATTGTACAGGAATAGAACAAATGTAGAGGTATCTGCTGTTCTTTGTATATTTGTATTCTGAGGGCAGCAAATGCTACATGCTTCAGTTCTACTCTTTAATAAGCTTAGAGAAATAAAAACTTATGTCTGGTTAAAAATGCTCCTATACTTTGTGCTAATGGGGAAAATACATGAGGTTAGAGAAAAGGTGTCTTCTGCGTCTAGGACATTCTAGCCAGGCTGGAGGATTTAGTTTCCACACAGCTCAGCCCCAGACCGGCTGCAGCAGATACAGTCACTGGTTCTCCCGGATCCACCCTAGGATCCTTTTGACCATGTTGCTGCTTTCCCTCAGCTTTGATGTGCTTTTGCTTCTAATAGCAGCACTTGCACCACCTCCTCAGACCTCTAGAACTCATTTGTCCCCAACACAGGGAGAGGTAGGATCTACGCACCCCTCCTCTCCTCCATGCCAGTCCTTCCTCATTGCCTTTACCCAGGGACTGAGATGCTAGAGTGTGAAAGCTCTGCTCTCACCTGGATTGCAAATCTCTGGACTCCCACTCCCCACTTCTCATGCAGGATAAAGCTGAAGTCTTCTTTAGGAGTCCATCCAACATCACCCCTTATTTGGCTTCCTTTCCTTCCCTGCCCTGCTTTCCCCAATCTCTTAGGCTCTCACTGAGCACTTCATTAAGAATTCCTTGCACAGGAGCCCCATATCAGAAACACTGAAGGTGACTTGGCTGGAGTTACTGACATATCTTGTGTTCCTTCCTAAACAGCACCTTAATGAAAACTTGGCAAAGCTCACCACCAAGTTTGAGAAAGCAACAGCAGATAAACTCAAATGTCAGCAAGAAGCGGAAGTGACTGCAGGCACCATCTCCCTTGCAAACCGCCTGGTGAGTGCCTGCCTCAGCAGCCTGAGCTCTAATTATATTACAATACTATGAATGCCATGGAGGTACGAAATAGATGAGCACAGCTCAGCACTGCTTTGACTCGTGGGAAAATATTAAAATGTTCAGGGATGCAGGAAATGATGCTTGAGAAAAGTATGAGTGCACACTCTGGTCTGGTCAAGAGTTTTCTTACAGAGATGATTGGGAAGGAAGTAGACACTGAATCTCTCAGCCCACGCGGGATGTAACCATGCTTACATGGATGTATATTGATCGGAGGAAGCATTAAAACTCAAGGTTAGAAAATTTTCGGAACTCCAATGATCTTATTAATGTTCTTTTTTCATAATGACTATGACCATGACTAGAAACTAAGGAAAAAAAGAGTGAAATTGATTGCCTCTGAGCATTGTTGAACATGACTTTATCCATGCACGTGTGCTTATGTTATGGGTGCCTGTTGCCTCAAAACAAATTACCCCAAAACTTAGTGATTTGACACAATAACCATTCCACTATATTTCACAAGTTTGTGAGTCAGGAATTTAAGCAGAGTTCAGCTGGCTAAGGCTTCTGCTCTGTGAGTGAGGCCACTCAGTGTGATTCAGCCAGTGGCTGAGCTGAGCCACAGAGGCCAGATGATTTCCTTCCCATGCTGGGCACCTTGGCAGAAGTGGCTGGCAGGTGGGGTCAGCAGGACCTCTCTCCCTCTCCACATGATCTCAGGGCCTCCCCATGCAGTCTCATCAGCAAGGTAGTCAGACATCTCACATAATGACTTAGGGCTCATGAGCAAATGTTCCAGGAAACAGGAAGTGGAAAGTCCCAGTCTCTTAAGGACCGGGACCTAAAAGCATCACAATATTACTTCCACTATATTTTGTCTTGTTGAAGTAGTCACAAATTCAAAGGGAGCAAGACAGACATCAGATCTTGAGAGGAAGAATGTATGGTGTTTTACAATGCTCCATGGCTCGTAATTATCATCACCTCTATCGGCTAAGATCCTGGGGGTTGGCCGTGTAGCTCAATAGCACAGGAGTGTCTAGCATATGAAAGGCTCTTGGTTCAAGACAGACAGAGAAAAAAAAAGAGTAAACAAGACAGAGAGAGAGAGAAAGAGAGAGAGAGATAATCTCACGGAGCAGTATCCACTGGTTGTGATTTCTCTTCACATGAGAGTCTTTGTAGCATCAGCTTTACTAATGAAGGAATATATAATCAATTCATTTTTACATTTATCCCAGCTATCTATATTTACATAACAAAGCCATTTTTTTTAATTTCGGGAGGAATGAGTCATAGCCATCATTGGCCAGAGCCGTGCTTTAGTGAAGTTACTCCACAAATGTACAGCCAGGCACTTGTTTGTAGGACCAGCCACTGCTTAGTTTCAAGATTCTCCATTTAGCTACGCCAACAGTTTGGTGTAGAGACAGCACCTCTGCAAATGTGCAAGAAGTTATCCAGATCTCCTAGCTGGCTTGCCTTCCATTCAGCTCCCTGCTTGATTTCCAAAACTCAGCACAGCCTTCTCTACCTGGCAGGAGCTCGTTCTGACTTCTGAGCATGTTCTGCCTCTTGGGAGGTAGGATGGTGCTCTGCTCTTATAGACAGGGTACAGGCTCTGCCACTGCCACCTCTGTCATGACCAACAGAGATTCTGGGGAGATTCTGTTACTGTGGGAGTGACTGGGTTGACAAATCCCTCAGGTCTCACCCAGCTCTGATGTTATACCATCATTCAAGGAAAACCTGCATGGTAAGTTCTAATGCAGAAACCAAGCTCCATCATGCATCCCACAGTTTTCCACAGAAAGGCTGGCTCTCCTCCCCAGGAGAGGCTGGCATCCCCATGTGGGCCAGGCCAGTCTAGATATGCTATGCAGTTCATAGCTCTTTATACATACCCAGGTGCCTACTTCTAACCTAGGTGTACTTCTAACTCTGTATCTTAATTATCATATCTATCTCCCTGCCCACTGTGAATTATTTCATGGACTTGATTTTATTTATTTTCATTTCCCTATTTCCCCATTTGGAAATGAGCATTTGGAGAAGGGAGAGGTGCACACTTTCTTGCATGTCTCACAAACCAGGCATTGTGGTAAGTGATTAACACACACAGTTACATTTAATCTTCCCAACAGCCCTCTGAGGTGGGTGGTATCCATCTTCACACGTAGAAAGGACAAAGCCTGGAAGTCTCCATTCAAAGCCTGTCATCTTTCTCCCGCCCACATAATGCACAGAACAGAACAGTAACTTGATTGCTGAAATGCTCGCTGCAGCAGGGGGCAAATCCCCATCGATTGAAAAGGCCACACAAATGATGTTCCAAGGCCTTCTGCTAGTGAGCACAATGTGCATCCTGAGACTACATTCCCAGCTCTGTAGCCCATAGTGTGACATATTCTCGCCCCTCTCCTGCCCTTGAAATGGTAGGTTGGAGGACTCACTTCCGAAAATGTGAGGTGGGCAGAAGCTGTGCAGAACTTCAAACAACAGGAAAGGACGTTATGTGGAGACATTTTACTCATTACCGCTTTCGTTTCATACCTTGGCTTCTTTACAAAAAAATACCGCCAGAGCCTCATGGATGGAACCTGGAGACCTTACCTGAGCCAGCTGGAGGTACGTACTGCCTGAATTTCTCCTGACCACACCAGCCCATGGCTACCAGTAATATCACATGGCCATGATAACTCAAATCTCCTAGTGCCCTCTTTCACTCACACTTCCTGAGAACTAGCTCTGGGACATGCACACCCATGCCTTCCACAGTGCCCTGTGGGTCGCCAGAGGTCAGAAACACCCCTGAATGAGGTCCTCCATGGGTACTCTGGTGCTCTAGCCAGTTGCTGTCTCTTAGCTTTTCTCAGAGCTGAAAACCTAGGAGACATCAAAAGAAGCTTGTGTTTCTCTCAGATCTCCTTGCTCCAGAGCCAAACAACATAGGAGCAATTGGAAAACTCCCTTTCCTTATTTTTCACTGCACCTTGTCACCAGGGCCCAGAGCTACATAGTTTCTACCCATGCATCAGAAAACAGCACCTATGATTGACTCTTATGGAATCAGCTTTTTCTTCCACAACTCTGGTGCTTTTTCCTTGGGCTGTACAGCTTGTCCTCATCGTGTAATTAGGCAAATTTTACTCCCAGCTCTGCTGTCTACACCTCACCCTCCCTCCAACATAATGAAGCAAGGAAATGTTAACTCCTGATTAAAGGGAATTTCATGCTGCACCTGGACCCTGTAGTCACAGTTCCTAACATTCACTTCCCATCATTTGTGATCATCACTCTCCAAATATTCACTGAAATTCAGCACATCCTACACTCCACCGTAAGGGAGGTCCAGAGACAGTGGAGTCCAGGATGCCTTCGGCATGCTCGAGGTCCAGTGGAGGAGACTTGGTTCCTAAAATTCAGCTACCAGTAGAGCCAGCACAAAAAGTTTACAACATACAACAAGAAATATATTCTGAAATCCACTGGTAGTTGCATCCTTAGAATGCAAAACACATGTTGCATAGTGAGGGTTGGTTTCTCAGATAAGCTCATAAATTCCTATTCACATGTTGATTTGCTGAACAGTGGTTTAAAAACTTACAGTACTAGGAACAACACAGGTGCTAGTTAGGCTGTTATTTTGTTCATTTTAAACATTTGTGGAAAAAGCAAATTGTCAAAATAACCATCAACATTGACTGAATCAAGATGAGCTAATTGGTAGCAGCAGTGCGGATTTTTCAGGCTTTGATTGGGGTTCTTGAGCATTTGTATGCCATTGACTTCTTTGGCAGTGTCTTCATCTACTTTCAGTTACTATAACAGAATACCTGAGAGGAGTAATTTATAAAGAACAAAGACTTATTTGTGTCATGGTTGGGAGTCTGGAAACCCCAAGAGCATGGGTGTGGCATTTGGTAAGAGTCTTCACGCTGTGTCATTCCATGGCAGAAGGCAAAAAGGCAAGAAGGGCAAGAGCTGAGCAGCAAAAGAAGGCCAAATGCACTCTGATGATAAATCTACATTTATGAGGTCCAACCCACTCCCACGAGAGAGTGATCTAATCATCTCCTATCAGACCCTACCTCCCAACACTGCCACATTGGAGATTAAGTTTTCAACTCATGGATTCCAAACAAAAATTTTGTGGAATATATTCAAAACATAATAAGCTGTCTTAATTCCTTCTCAGAATAATATTTTTGTGTATAAGATTACAAAAAAAATATTAAAACACATGTCTAACCCCAGAAAGAAAAAAAAAAAAACCTCCAAGAGGCTAATTTGCTTGACTGTATAGTGTGGGTTGTTTGTCCCCTTAGTAGACAGAAGTAAGGGACAAGAGATGGTTTGAAGATGTTTCCCTCAAGTAAGTGGGCAAAACAAACTGCAGAGGGGAAAGAGACGTATGGATTGAAAGGTCTTCTGTCCGAACCTTGAAACATTATGCTAAGGGAAAGCAGCCTGACACAAAGGGTCACATCTTGTATGATTGCATTTGTATTGAATATCTAGATTAGGAAAATCCATAGAGACAGAAAACATATTAGTAGTTGCCAAAAGTTTAGAGTAGAGGGCAGCAGGGAGTGACTGATGAGTATTAGGGTTTCATTCTGGGATGATGAAAATGTTTTGAAAGTAGATTGAGAAGATGTTTGCATAACATTGTGAGTGCACTAAATGCCACTGAATTGCACACCTTAAAATGTAAATATCATATTGTGTGAATTTTACCTCTTATTTTTCCTTTTTAAAAAGTGTATGAGTCATTGACGGAAAAGTTTATAGAAAAATTAAGTGAACTGAGGGAGGCCAAAGGAGAAGACAAGAAAAGGTTTAGGAGGCCTGAAGGGACACAAGAGGGGACAGAGTTCTCAAGGCTGAGTGATGCTCAGTGGCTTCCCAGCAGGTGAGTTTGCAGGGAGATTTCCTGTACAGAGAGCTCTGGGAGTGAACTGTTTGGGACAAGAGGAAGTCAGCCTCTCCAGCCATTTGCAAGCTGGTGAAACAGACAAGAGGACAGAGTGGTTTGTGCAGAATGCCACATGGGTCCTGGGGCTGGTTCATCGGAGAAACAGAGAAATGTGATAGGAAAATAAGTGCTAACATGGTTAAAGACATGTAGGAGATTATTTTTTGAAATTGAAATTATCTATAGTAGAAAGTTGATTTAGGTGAATATACCAGAGAACAAAGTGTTGGACACAAAAGCTGAAGTTCTGTTGTTGTTCATCCATCAAGAGAAGAAAGACTATCAGGACTTTAACAAAATCTGATTCCAGAAATAGTTACACAGCCAGGCAAGCAATGAAGAGGATATTGATCTTGCTTTTAAAGGAGTTACATTATGCAGTGAGATGCTGTGTGTTCACCTCTCTCCCACACGCACACTGAGAAAGCCTTCTTCACCAGGTTCCCATCCCAGTCACCCCAACCCTGGACCCACTGAGGATGCTGACAGATGACGCTGACGTGGCTGCCTGGCAGAACGAGGGCCTCCCTGCAGACCGAATGTCTGTAGAGAATGCCACCATCCTCACCAACTGTGAGCGCTGGCCGCTCATGGTGGACCCTCAGCTGCAAGGCATCAAGTGGGTCAAGAACAGATATGGAGAAGACCTTCGGGTGACCCAAATTGGCCGGAAAGGGTAAGCAGCTGAGCATCAAACTCACCACTGGCACCATTTGTGCAGGGAAAACAAATGTGAGGAGTAGACATTAAGACCCGTGTCTTATTTCTCCTCTCCTGATTGCTCCATGAGGTCCCTCTGATTTCTTATGGTTCTCTCCCCATTTCAGAAATTGTCTCAGTGAAAAATGCCTCACCAAATCTTTGCTTTTCTTTCTCATTAGAAATTGTGCACTGCCCATGTGGTGATTATAGTTCACAAAAAATTATTGTGTATTTAATAAAGAACTGGAAGAGAAGCTGAGAACTTTGGATCATAACTATAATCCCAGCCCTTGGACAGGTAGATCTGAAGTTCAAAGCCAGACTGGAATACATAGTGAGACCTGTCTCAGAAAAAGAAAAAGGAAGAGGAGGAGAAGAGGAAGAGGAGGAGGAAGAGGAAGAGGGAGAACTGGAAGAGAGTAGTTTGAAGGTTCCCAACACATACAAATGACAAATGATTAAAGAGGTGGAAACCCTAATTACCTTGATCATTACATGTTACACATGTGTCATTATCACTCTCTATCCCATAAATATATGCACTTGTAATATATCAATTTTAAAATGTGCTGCATCTTCTCAATCCGTTGAGAGTATTGTCACACCATCCCTGGTATTCATCCTCCCTTCTTTCCCTACACTCTTCTTGCCTCCCCACCCCCACCCCTTGTTAGGCAAGCCTGTTTTAATCTTCACATCTGACTAAAAGCTGCCTTCCATGCCCCTCCTTTACCCACTGTTCCTACCTCTGCCCTGGAGCCACAAACAACAAATTTAAACTCTCTTTCTACTGAGGCTCATCCAGACATTTCCATCAGTTGCATGGCAACTGTGTTAGGAAAACATCAGTACCTGCCTCATGATTTGGTCCATGTGTGATTTGGCATGGGTAGCAGAGAGAACAGCTGGCCAGTGTCCAACATGCTTCACCAGCCTGGGCCTCTGCACCTCTCACTGGTAACTAAAAAAAACAAATACTGTAAGGTTCCTCTCAAGTGAGGCACCTAGGGTGGTCACATTCATAGTAGAGACAGAAAGCAGGATGCTGTGGCCTAGAGGTTGGGAGAAGGAGGGATTAAGGAGTCAGAATTTTGTTTGCTTGTTTGTTTGTTTTGTGGTTTGGGTTTTTTTTTTTTTGAGACACAGTCTCTCTATGTAGTCTGGGCTGGCCTTGAACTCACTATGTAGCCCAGACTGGCCTTGAACTCACTATGTAGCCCAGACTGGCCTCAAACTCACAGCAATCCTCCTGCCTCAGCCTCCCAAGTGCTGGGATTACAGGCATCCACCACCGCACCCAGTGAGGAATCAGTATTTAATGGGCACAGTTTCAGTTTTGCTAAAACACAACAAAACAAAAAAAGATTGTAACAGGATGGTGATATTGTTGAACAACAGTCTGAATGTACTTAATACCCCTGAAATTTTCCCTTAAAAATGGTTAAGATGGTAAATTTTATGTGTATTTACCACAATTAAAAAGTTAGTCATATATCACTCAATGACATGAATACATTCTGACAGATGCATCATTGGCAATTTTGAAATTGTGTGGTCATAATAGTTTCTTTCTGCAAACTAAAACAGATATGCCACCACTAGCCAATATAATCTTATGAGACCACTGTTGTCCATCACTGACAGAAACCTTGGTATGTGGCACATAATTTTTTTAAATTTTTATTCATTTGTTTATCTATTTGTTTAGGTTTGTTTGTTTAGGTTTCTCATGTGATAGAAACATGCAATACTTAACTTGCTGTGTCTCGCATATTTTGTTTAGCATGATGGTCTCATGAATTCCACCCATTTTCCTACAAATGACATGGCTTAATCTTCCGTTATGGTTGAATAATATTCCATTGTGTAAACATACTATGTTTTCTTTATCTATTCATCTGTTCACAGGCAGCTAGGCTGTTTTTAGAGCTTAACTGTTGTGAATTGAGCCACTATAACCAAAGCTATGTGTGCATCATTATAGTATGATGTCTTTAATTCTTTTGGGAATATACCCAGGACAGAGGGAGCTGGGTCAAATAATATTTCTATTTTTAGTTTTTTGAGGAATCTCCATACTGATTTCCGTAGTGGTTGTACTAGTTTATGTTCCTGTCAGCAATGTAGAAGGGTTCTTTTTTCCCCACATCCTCACCACCATTCACTGTTTATCGTGTTCTTGATGCTAGCCACTTGGGCTGGGGCAAGATGGAATCTCAAAATAGCTTTGATTTCCATTTCCCTAATGGCTAAAGATGCTGAGCATTTTTCATATGCTTATTGGCTATTTGTACTTCTTTTTTTTAAAAAAAAATGTCTATTTAAACTCTCTTTTAGAAAAAGGAATGGAGGCAGTATTTGAACACAGGTCATCTTCACTTAGAGACTCAAGAGTTACCCATTGTAGCACAAGGTTACCAATGTGAGGTTCGCCTTCTGCCCATAGGTCTGTCCCTAACATGCTAGCCCAGAGGTCCAGCTCACACAGGGTTGTTGAAGTGAAACATGTAATGTTAAAAATAGCAGTTAAACTGGGGATTTAGCTCAGTGGTTCCACCGCCTGCCCCGCAAGCCCAAGGACCCAAGTTCGATCCCTGGTACCAAAAAAAAGAAAAATAGCAGTTAAACAGGGCCAGGGATTTAGCTCAGTGGCACCATGCCTGCCTCACAAGCACAAGGTCTTGAGTTCGATCCCCAGTACCAAAAAACAAACAAACAAAATGGCAGTTAAAGAAAAAATTGAATACTAGAATTGGATCCCTCTTACAGAGTAAACTTTACTGGGGAATGAACACCCAGATATGACAACATGATATACTTTTATCCACATCTTCAGTCACAGAACAATCGAATTCTGGCCTTCCTCTCAAACTTTGATTAAAATATTCCTTTCTAGTTGGTTAAATACATTTTAGACAGAAGCCTGTGTCTTTTTTGGTCACTGCTATATCCCTAGTACCTAAAACACTGCTGACATATCACATCGTAGATCTTCATAAATAATGGTTCAATTAATTCTCTGCTTGAATCCATTGACTGTTTTCTATTGGGTGGTTTTCTAGATTTGTCATACATTGTTTGAGTACAAATGTTATTCTATATAAATAGAAAATATAAAAATAGGTATAATCCTTTGTTCAAGTGTCTCATTTGCCTTTTAATTTTATGCGTGGGGTTTGACATACTATGTTTTATTTAGTCAAACTTGTCACCCATGCCTTCCATAGATCATGTTTAGAAAAATCTTTTTTACCACAAATTGCTTAAATATTAAATCTACATTTTTTAGTTTTCTATGAGTTTTCTTTTTTACTTCGAAATCCAGTCATTTTAAATATATTTCAAGGTCCTAAATGAAGTACAACTAATTTTCCGATTGGTTAGCTATTGTTCCAATATCATCTGCCAAATTTTCCATCTTTTTCTCAATTAATTAGAAATGCCATTTTACAATATTAAATTATTTAATTAAGCAGGACTTTTATTCTTTTCTATCCCTCTAATATTATGCTAGCTTTTAATTATGTGTTTCTATACTTCATAACATTTATTGTGGAATTTCTCATTACAAAAATAGTATGTCATTATTGTTAGAAGGGTAAGGAAATGAGTTACAAAAAATAAAGAAATAAAAACTTCTATAATTCATCATTCAAAAACACTGCTAACTTTTTGGCACACTTTTTTTTTCTCCATTAAGTTTATTGGTACATTTTAGGTATACAATACAGTCACATTCATCACTGGGAACTTGTACCTTTACATGATGTATCTTGGTTCTTATTTCTTTCGCCATTCCACTGTCCTTCCTTCAACCCCTCTACACTTCCCTCTTTACAAAGACTTTGTTTCCATTTTTCCTTTTCTCATATTTTTTCCTTTGCCTTCTTAAGACTTCTTTTATAGACCTGCACTGTTGAAGTTACAAAAGCATATTTTAGTATTAGGTAATATGAGTCCTTCCTTCATGAAGGAATTTGAGGGTCTAATTAGTCCCTTTTCATCGTCATTCTTTTTTTTTTTTTTACTATCTGCATTATATTATCTTAGGTTAATTTTAAGACTTTTAGTCAAGATGTTTATTGTTGTTTTTGTTTGATTTAGAATTGTATGAAACTTATAAACTGATTTAGAGGAAATTAACCTATAAAATAGTTATTAAACTCTACATAACACTGAAAAGTTAAAAGTAACCTAGACCTTTACTAATTGGTTGATAAATACATTAAGGTATATTAATGATCTAATAACCAGGAGTTAAAATTTACTTCAGAAGAATATCTAATGACATGGGGAAATTTTAGATTTTATGTTCAAAAACTAGGTTAAAAAACAAAGGTGCTGCTATATGAATTCAATTGTATAAAGACTAAACCTGAAAATATAGTACAGTTAGCCTTCCATATCTGCAGGTTCTGCATCATGAATTCAAGCAACCATACATCAGAAACATTTGGGGTGAAAACTGCATCTGTACTAAATATGTACAAACTTTTTCTTTGTCTTATTCCCTAAACAATAGTATAACAACTGTTTGCATAGCATTTATATTGTCTTAGATATTACAGGTAAAAGTAGTGAGAGGATGTACATAAGTAATGTGAAAATATTAGACTACTTTATACAAGGGATTTGAGCATTTATGAAGTTTGGTCTCTGTAGGGTTCTGGAACCAATCGCCCACGGGTACCAGTGGAGCACTGAATATTCAAATACACACAGTAAACACCAAATTGTTAATAATGGATCAAACAATTATTGTTAATTTTCATATTTGTTTTTGTATTTTGTAGTTTCTCCCTATTTCTAAAACTGTCAAAAATCACATAAATGCCATTTTAATGAAAGAGGAATGGGGCTGCTGAAAACACTTCTAATGGCTATGCCTCCAAGTTTACTCATGGGCCTTAGAGACCACGGTTGCCTTGTTAAATTGCCGTTGAATCAGTACCTTGCCACAGGCTGATACTGTGTAACTCACTCTCCCCAGCTACCTTCAAACCATAGAGCGCGCCCTGGATGCTGGAGACGTGGTGCTGATCGAAAACCTGGAAGAGTCCATTGATCCTGTTCTGGGACCTCTGCTTGGGAGAGAAGTTATTAAAAAAGGACGGTAAGATTGAGACATGTGGCTGCCCTGTGTGAGAAGCAGGTTAGAAGCCCTGGTGAATACTGGAGTGGTTTGTTCTTTTTAGAATCTCCCCTCCTCAGCTCAGGTCAAGGAGCTCCCTGCAGCTGGCATATTGTCCTCCTTCCCAGCAGAGGCTACTTCGTTGCCCTTTGTTCCTGGAGAAGGCTTCCTAGGATAGACTCCACTTCCATCAGTCAAGGACTCGTTGACTTCCCTCTCAATGGCCATAGGGCACAACTGGGAAGAAATTTTAGAAGGAAAGTGATTGAAAAGCAGACTTTTAAAGCATGAGTATTTTATCCAAGCCAGATGTCTGAGTTCTGCAAACTTGGATCCTTGTCAATTTAATGAGCCTGCAACATTGGATGCTGGTACATGATCAGGGCTTAACAAGTGTAGGACAGAAGCAGAAGGTGTAAAGGGTAAATGAAAGGAAGTAGAATGGTCATCTGCATATAGGATAGGAAGTGATAAATATCATGAGGGCATGCTTGACTCAAGAACTGTCTTAGTGCATTTTCTACAGCTGTAATAAAATACAGGAGGTCTAGTAGTTTATAAAGATAAAAAGGTTTACTTAGCTCACAGTTTGGGAGACTGAAAGTCTAAGATCAGAAACCCATCTGTTAGGCCTCTGCTAAAACCTTCCTGACTACATCACAACATAGTGGATGGTATTATGGCAGAAGTGTATATGAGAGAAAGAGAGAAGCCATGTAGCAAGTCAGGGAACAAGAGACTGGGTAAGAATATCTGACTCTTCTTATAACAACCCACTCTTCTCAGCAACTAATCCACTTCTATCAGACCTGCCCCTCTCCTGGGAGAGATTAGTCCCTTCCCAGGACAGTACCCCCTGAAATTACCTCCCCCTGGGCTACACCTCATAGATGTCCACTACCTCAACATCTTCGCCCTGGAGACCAAGCTGCTAGCAAATGACCTTTGCAGGGACAAACCCAACCCAAACCATAGCTGGCACCTCACCCACTGTCTATGCCCTGAGCTGCCTTTCTGTGTCTTTCGGTTGTGCTTATTTATGTGTTTGTTTAATTTCAGCCATCAAAGTCATTCCCCTGTCAGCCAAGAGGAAAAGTTAGCACTCCAATAGCCTAAAAATACCTTTGTACAACTACAAAATGCCCCTTCCTCCAAAAGCTTTACTGCCATCTGCTGGAAACTTTTCATAGTATCCTAATCTATGCTGATCACAATGGGAATGGCTTTCCCTAGAGTTGAACAGTACTAAGTCAAACATGGTGGCAAAGGGAGACAGTCTATAGTCTTCTATACCTATTCTCCACATGAGAGCAACAAGGGTCCTAGGATGCATGTTAAACATACCTAGGAAGAAATTATCCAAATATGGCAACGTTGTTGGCTATGTTCTTAAAAATAAAAGTCTTGAATTCTGTTCCTGACCAAATCTTGCAGGGAGGCACTTCACCTTCACATACGCCTTTATATTCCAGATTCATCAAAATTGGAGACAAAGAGTGTGAATACAATCCCAAATTCCGGCTCATCCTCCACACCAAGCTGGCCAATCCTCACTACCAGCCTGAACTGCAGGCTCAAGCCACCCTGATCAACTTCACTGTGACCAGGGATGGTCTAGAGGACCAGTTGCTGGCCGCTGTGGTCAGCATGGAGAGGCCAGACCTGGAGCATCTGAAGGTACATGTGGTGTTCATTGGAGAAGGGAGGAAAAATATATTTTTCCACTAGACCTTGGGCAGGCCACTCAGGGAGCAAGACTGAGCAAGCCGTTTCTCCTGGAGCCAGGCATGGAAGGCTCTGCAAAATGTTGGAAGATCCCAGCCCCAATCTAGCTACCCAGCAACACCAAGTTTGGCAAGGGAGGATATGGCAAACTAAAGACCAGAAGCTGGGGATGGCTGGAAGAAGGGACATTCCCATGGTCAAGGGCAGGGCCTGGCACAAGCTATGAATCTGAGGGCCTCTGAACGCACATGGTCATAGGCCTACAGACAGTCATGGAATTAAATTCTTTAAAGGTGACAGAATTAGGTTCAACCCTGCTAGGCTTATATATGGTCACCTCAGAGTGTCATAACAAAATACCATAGAGTGGGTGGCTTGAAGAACAAGCCTCTATTTTCTTATAGTTCTGGAGGATAGAAGTCTGAGACAAGGGTGCCAGCAGAGGCCTCGCCACTCGGCTTGCAGATGGCAGCCTTCACAGTATGTTCTCATGCAACCTCTTCTTGCGCATGTGTGGAGAAAAGGAAAGGGAAATGATAGCAAGAAAAGTCTGTACATGTTCAATACAGACACAATTTTTTAAAAATATTTTCAGTCTGTAGTTGATTGAGCTTACATGAGCAGAACCAGCAAATACAGAGGACAAGTCTATATTGTGCAGTTGGGATTCAATTCATCTACTCATTTCTTCTGCTCCTCTCTCTGCTTATGGTCTCAAACATTCTTGATATTTTGCCTCCAGTTTACTGTCTGTAAGGGGAGGAACTCTGGCTCATGAATAATTATTTATTCAGACCTCTCTTAAAAGTAGGATGCTCTGAGCATCTCCACCTGACTACTTCTTACTTGATACTTGCAGTCAGATCTCACAAAGCAGCAGAATGGATTCAAAATCACACTCAAAACATTAGAAGACAATCTGCTTTCTCATCTCTCCTTGGCATCTGGGAACTTCCTGGGAGAAACAGCCTTGGTGGAGAACCTAGAGATCACCAAGCAGACAGCTGCAGAAGTGGAGAAAAAGGTAATATTATTCTGTCTGGTCTAGGAAGGCAGCTGAGGCTGGGTCCTCCTGCAGTTTTCTGTTCTTCGTGCCTGAGTCTGACTTCTGGATGGTGTTTTGGCTTCCCAAGTGCCTTCTAGGAAGTCCAGCTAGTCAGGATCCCTGAGATAACTCCCTCCTGTCCTGAGTTACAGAACTGCCACTTTCTGCAAAGTGCTTTGGAAATCTTGACTCCACAAATACCTGATAAGCTCCTAAATTGGCAGAGCCTAGCTTTCTGTACAGGAGATGGTAGCTCCAACGGAATACTTCAGATGGTTTATGGAACTGCCCTGAAGCTAAAGCATCACATTGCTATAAAAGTTGGCCAAGTCAGGCAAGATTCCATCCTGAGAAAACCTGCTGGACTTCCAAAATCTCACAAGTCTAATTTTAATGAGAAAACCTCAATGACTTCCCAGGAAACTCTACTCTCAAAAGCTGTGTCACCTGGGAAACAATTACAGTAGTATGTAACTTCCTTTCTTTATTTCACCGTGTTGGACAGTTTTTATTCCCCCAGTGCCTAATAGGTAGTTTAAGAAAAAGAGCAATTCCCTCACTTTTCCCAGAAGACTGGGAAAACTTTCCAAATCTAAAAGGCCTTTTTGCATCCTCAGCCCTACTCTTGGATCAGAAAACCAGTTATGATACTGATTCTGACTAAGATATCACGTGTCTGTAACAGTATCTGAGAACAAGGCATCTTCAAATGATTATGAATATTCCCTACTTTTTGGGACGTCTCCAAATATGAAGGACGGTTCTGGGTAGAGACAAAGTATAAAAACTGAAAAGTAGTGATGGGCAAGGCAAATAAACCAGGTCATATCCACTCTTGGATAACAGACAACTCATTGCCCAGGTTGAAGTGATGTATCTGACAAGAGGAAGCTCTGGTGTAGCACTGGCTCGCATCTGCTGTGTGCCCACCAGGTTTTACTGCCAGCTACTTATGACCTCTGCGTCTCCAGAGAATTTGAAAAATAACTGTGTTTGAAAGTCTATTGCCCTGAGCTAGAAGGACTCAGTGCACATAGGGTAGACACAGCCATCTTGTTCTCTTCTCCCTACTTCCCATCTCTGCTTTCTTTATCCCATCTTTAAAATCACTGAACACTTATTGTGCACCTGCTGCCAACTCTCATACAGAAATTTCTTGTTGTTCCTTTTTCTTTATTTTTTCTCTGTCTCATTCATACGTAACAAAAGTTAGGGATACAGTGAGGAACATTCAAGAAATGTTAAAGAAAAGGAGTACTTGAACAGAAGTTTGAACTTACAGGAATGATTAATGCAGATAATGGTTAATATAGTGGACTAAATAAGAAAGTTACGGAGGGTATAATGGAGGTCATAGATGAAGTACTATGAAGACAGATATGTACAGCTTAACTTCAGGAATACATTTTGAGAAACGCATCATTTGAGAACACCATACAATATCCTTGCATAATCTAAGATGGTTATGGCATCACCAGGCAATATGAGATCACCATTGTATATGTGGTCCATGATTGACCAAAAATGTCATTATGTGGCATCTGACTGTAGTTTGGGAACACATGAGTGAAGCTCATCTCCTGAGAGTGAAGAAATAGTGACAAGGTGGGGGTGAGAGGGTGAAAACTTACAATAGCTGTGGAAAATAGGAACTAGCAGTCAGGCATGGACAGGCATGGTGGTGCACACATGTAATCTCAGCTACTTGGGAGGCTGAGACAGGGGAATTGCAAGTTCAAGCCCATCCTGGGCAACTTAGTGAGATGTCTCAAAATAAAAATTTTAAAAGGGTTGATGATGTAGCTCAGTGGTAGAGCACTTGTCTAACATGTGTGAGGCTCTGGTTTCGATCCCCAGTACAGAACAAAGAGATTTGCCAAGGAGCTAGATCCTTTGCAGATGGGACGGGAATCAAGAAATTGAGGGATGAGGAAGGGAAGGGGGGAGAAAGGGATGTAAAAAGAATTAAGATGTGTTATGTAGGCTCGTACCAACTCCCTATGATGAATATAGTTATTATGTATGACAAACTTGCACTAATAAAAAATTTTTCGAAATTTCAAAAAAGAAAAAAAGGCTATTAGAGGCACAGAGATTACAGCATTAAGGACTCAGGTGAGGTTGAAGACTATGAATCTGTAGTAACATTAATCTGAGGAATTATGTGATTTGTACCCTCTTCTGAGAGTTTTTATTTCTTTTTTTTTTTTTTTGGTGCTGGGGATCGAACTTGGGTCCTTGAGCTTCCACAGCAGGGGGCAAAACCACTGAGCTAAATCCCTGCCCGAGTTTTTATTTCTTAACTACTGAATTTAACTAATCTTCACTATTAATAATTTCATGTACAGTAGTAGTTTAATCTCTGTGATGGACCAGCCATCACCAGTTGAAAGGTTCCTGAATGGGGGAAAGGAGGACTGAGAAAATAAGACAAAGAGACAGAGTCGGGAGGGCTCCCAAGACCGAGCAAGCAAGTTTATTTACACCTCTCTTTTATACACTCAGTGAGTTAGGTCATTAACCATGACCTTTATCCAAAACACCTGCTTCGTTGTTTGCTAGTTTTCTAGACACTCCTCGCCCTCATGGGCTACTTTGTTTCCTGGGGTTACAGAAGGTTCACCTTGTTGCTAGGGCAATCTCTAAAGGGAAACATCGGAGTTAGTGGAGACACGGTTCCCCATTACATAGTCTCCTGGCCGTTTATAACAAAGGGTAAAATTAAAATGAAGCTTTTTGGCTGACACCGCTCCCCACAAATCTCTACTATCTTGTGTTTCTTATTAATTAGCATTTCCATCACCTCAGACATTAATCAATTCTATATGTTGCAATGCTTTATACTCTTCTACTTATTGTGAAACCTATCTTAGGAAGGTTGTGAAATATACTTACCCTAATAAGCTGTAAAACAGAGCGATTTCCTCCTCACTAGTGGTGTTCTGCTCCCCCTTGTCTAGCCTCTCTGCTTCCCCCCTCCCACTTTTTAATGACTACTATTTTGCTCTGTAGTTCTATGAAATCAATTTGTTTTAGCTTCCATAAATGAATAAAAACATGGAGTATTTTTTTCACTGTGCCTGGTTTATTTCACTTAACAGGATGTGCTCCAATTCCATCTACTTTTACACTAAATATGGGATTTCATCTTTTCTTTTGGTTGAATAATATTCCATTGTGTATACATGCCACATTTCTTTATCCACAAATCTGTCAATGGACACCCTGGTTGACTCCATATTTCAGCTATTGTGTATACAACTGCAATAAACATGGGAATGCAAGTATCTCTTTGACATATTGATTTCATTTCTTTGGCTATATACCAAGCACTGGAATTGCTGGATCACATAGTAATTCTGTTTTTAGTTTTTTGAGGACTGCCCTTAATTGTTTGCCATGGTGGTTTGCTCTTTCTCCCCATTTTCATCAGAATTTATGCTTTTTTTATAATAACCATTCTAACTGGGGTGCGTTTTTTCTCTTTTATTGATTTCCTTTATCCTTCTTCTTTTATTCTTTCTTGATTTTAAAAGTATTCATTTTATTTTATTAACTTTATTTTGTTTCTATATATTTAAATATATATGACTTAAATACATTTTTAAACCAAGTCTAAAATTAAGCAATATATCTAATTCTAAAGCAATGTAAGAGCTTTAGAGAACTTTAGTTCTTATCATTCCTATCCACCTTTGGTATTGTTTTGTCATCTAATGGCTTATTGAGAACCTGTTTTCAGGCTAACCACTATGCCTTTTCAGATACTTTGTCTCTCCTAGTATAATATTTCTCTTCATCTTTGAGGTTCTGACATTTTTTTATTTCTTTTACTCAAGAGTGATATGCTTCTTCAAGATAAGGGCTCTGGCCATTCATCAGCTTTGGACAACTCTTAACTAATATAGCTTCAAATACAGTCTCTCTTCTTCCCTCTGTTCTCCACTTACTTCTGTCAAGTGTATTTAAATCTTATGCTTTTATCTGCCAAGTCTAATAAACTTACATATTTTTCTATCTTTCTGAGGTAGTTTTGTAACACTTTCCTCAGATCTTTCTTCCAGTTTGTTGTTCTTTTTCAAATCGAGCTTATTATTTAACCTGTACATTTTTAATTCAAATAACTGTGTTATTATTTGTAAAAGTTCTAGTTAGTTTCTTCAGATGTTCTTGTTCTTCTCGATGATGTCCTTGTTCTATGTTTTCTTGGTATCTACTGCTTTTTTTTTTTTTTTTTTTTGTACCAGGGATCGAGCTCAGGACCTTGTGCTTGCAAGGCAGGCAGCAGAACCACTGAGCTAAATCCCCAGCCCAGTATCTACTGCTCTTAACATGCTCTGTTCCCTCACCACTGTCCTTCCCACACTCTACTGATGACTATTCCACTCTCTTCTTTCATAAGATCCAACTTTCAGCTTTCAAAAAGAGAATGTAAATTAGAAAAGAATGAAAAAAGAACATACAGCCCTGTCCTTCCATTTTATATCATTCAGTCATCTTCATTTCTTGGGATGTAAATCTTTCTGGAGTTCTGAAAGTGGTTTGTTCCTTTCTTTGTTTGTTTGCTTGCTTTGGAAGAGATCTTCTAATTGTCCCCTTTGGTGACACTTCCCCCTGCAGTTTATTCACTGTCACAATATCTTTAATAGGGCTCATTGCTTTTTCTTGTGGGACTCCCACAAGTTATCAGTATTATACTCTATGTTGGATGTCTAAGGGTAGAGCATATTGAGGTTTGCATTCAGTGGTATGTCCTTATAGAAATCCCTCTTTATTTATAAGATATTTTATGAAAATAAAATATTCCACTGAAATAAATTTTGTGAATTTACACATTAGCTATTTCTTAAAATTTTTTCCAAAAGAAAATTATATTGCTTCTTTCCCTGGACTTCCACTGCTTGTTGTTTTATTTTAGACGGACAGACAGACAGGCAGGGAGACTGATTTGCATTTTCAGGAAATCATCTCATTAAAGATGAAGTTTTGAGGCTTGTGTGATCCATACTTCCCAACTAGAAGAGCTGATCTTTCTCATTCTTGTGAAAAACTAGGATCTGTGATCTCCTTTTTCATTCATGCTCTGTTAAGGAATAAATAGTAGAATGGCTTTTCAACCCAGCACCCACTATCCCCATCCTAGTCCACTCCACCACACACACAGCCACGTATCTACTCACACAGAAAGGCTAAACTGAGTCTATGGGATCTCTGGTTCGTTGGAATAATCAACTACTCTTTTTCTTTCCAAAAGGTCCAGGAGGCCAAGGTGACTGAAGTAAAAATCAATGAGGCCCGAGAACACTACCGGCCAGCAGCTGCCCGGGCCTCTCTCCTCTACTTCATCATGAACAACCTCAGCAAGATTCACCCAATGTACCAGTTCTCTCTTAAGGTGACTGACACCTGGAATTTTTCACATAATTATAGTACAGTGGTACAATATCATCAATGCAATAGTCCATGAGAACTTATGCATGCACTTTATTAACTATGGTAGGTCTTAGAGATCAAAGCCAGAGAGCAGCTACATGTAGCTTCAGAAAAATATTCCAGTCCTCATCTCTCTAATTGGGTCTTACGTAACCCCTGGAACATAGAGGGGAGCCACAACAAACCTTGGCCTCATTCATTTAGTATGAACATTCAATATGCTGGGTACTATATGTCCTGAATGTGTAGAAGAAGATACTAAAGAAATATAAGAAATGATCCCTGTCCCCAAAGAGCTTAAAATACAGTCATCTTTATATGCATACCAATTGTACTGATGAAAGACCAACTCAGGCAATCATAATAAGCCAACTTTAAATTACTTTCCTTATTACCCTAAGTCTCCAAAGCTACCGCTGTATAGTTGTTGAAATATTCCTTAAAGCAAAGTTGTTAGCAAATTGTAAGTCCTGACTAAACTTACCTTACTCATGAAAAAATAAAGACCTACACATTTCAAGTGAGTCTTTGAAAGCACATCTTTGTCCCCCAGTGTATTTATCAAAAGGCCACAATTAAAGAGGCATTAATACATAGTGAAGCATTTTGGAACAACTTCATTGGTTTGACCCAATAGAGGACATGCACATATATGAAGAGATGAGAGAGAGGAAAAAATCCACGTAGACACACAGAGATTTCACACACAGAGAGAGTGGGAAGAGAGAACAGCATACACTGCAGTTTGGTGCAATGTTTACAGATAAACCACCATGTGGAGGTTGAGGTGTAAGGATGGTGATGAATAGCCGAGAACTCAGAAGGCTGCTGGTAACTGTGGTTCATGTTCCTGGAGATGGCATTTCACCATTTCCCAATTCCTTTCCCCTAACTCAGAGTCTCTGTGGATTGGGTGTTTACTGTGTTTGTAATACAGTATTTTATGTTTTTACTTTTAAAATGCAATACTTGACCTTATATTGAGAGTATAACAACATATGAAAGAATTATACGATAATGTATACTGTTTATAAAAACACTGTATAAAAGTTAGCATTAGAGGGCTGGGGATTTAGCTCAGGGGTTCCAGCTCCTGCCTCACAAGCATAAGGTCCCAAGTTCAATCCCCAGAACCTAAAAAAAAAAGTTACCATCACCTCCCTAGTTTCAAGAGTGGTTAGAATTGACTACAGGTACATATGAGAAGCCTACCACTAGTTGACTTCACCTTTCTGAAAACAAGAATTTTGATGAAAATATGTGTTCAAAAACATGTTGTAAGCTGTTTTGCACCAATAGCTTCCTGAAATAAGAAGCACTGAAGCACTACTTTTTAAAAAGGAGGAGGTGGAGCCAGGCATGATGGCACATGCCTATAATCTCAGGACTCCAGGAGTCTGAGGCAGGAGGATTGCAAATTCAAAGCCACACTAGGCAAGACTCTGTCTCAAAATTAAAAATAATAAAAAGGCTGGGAACATGGTTCAGTGCAAAGGCCCTGGGTTCAATCCTTATTATGAGGGGGGGAGGTGCATTTTGGGTCCCCACACTATTAAGAATTGCCAAGGCCAGGTCTGGTGACACAAGCCTATAACCACCTACTCAGGAGTCTGAAGTAGGAGGATTCAAATTTTGAGGCTGGTGTGGGCAACTTAGCAAGACTCTGCCTCAAAATACAATACAATATGGTCCAGGGATTTAGCTCAGTGGTGCCACCGCCTGCCTCACAAGCGCAAGGTCCAGAGTTTGATCCCCGGTACCAAAAACAAACAAACAAAACAAAACAAAAAAATTCAATACAATGCAATAAAATGGCTGAGGAGGAAGCTCTGTGGTAAAGCTCTTATCTAGCACATGTGAAGCCCTGTGTTCAATTCCCAGTATGAATGAGAAAAGAAAAACAGAAATTGCCATTAATATCTATTGGTTGACCAACTTAATCATTGCCTTAGTCACATTCTTGTTGCTAAGACACAGTACCCAGAACCAGAAACTTAAAGGAGAGGAGGTTTATTTTGGCTCACAGTTATAGTCCTGGCCGGCTGGCTCCGATGCAGAAATGGCCTAACATGACATGGAGGAAAGCTGCTCACCTCATGGCACCCAGGAAGCGGAAAGAGAAGAATGGTGCAGGGCTGGAGATAGATCCTTCCAGATCACACCTCCAGGGACACACCTCCTCCAACCAGATCCTGCCTCCTAACAGCAAGTGAGCTATGTCACTTCCATAGCTCAGTCCTCTTCCAAAAGCCCTGCCTATGAGCTCACAAGGCCTTTGGGAGGTATACTCGATCCAAGCCCAAACAATATTCAAAAGCAGATTTAAATACTTAATGATAAGTATCAAAGGGAAAGACCTTCAAACATCCCAAAGCAATGATGCATTTAAAACTCTTCTATGATTTGGGAAAAAAAGAAAAAAGAAAAAGTGGTCACTGGAGTTTTCAGGTATTGCCTTTTTTCTCAGGTTGGATTTTACAAGTTCCATTTCGGCAGAAAAAGAAAGGGCTTTCTCATAGCACAGAAGCCCCAGATTAGGTCTATGTCTCAGCTTTCAGTGTGTTTTCAACAAGGATATATTCATACATTTGTTTTATACAAGCAAAAACTCTTCAAGATCCAAGTTTTAAATGAACTTAAAATTCACCATATGATTAAGATGGAACTTAAGTAACTGTCGAGTAACTTTTCTTCAAAACTCAGCCAAAAGCTAGGAGAGGGTTAAGGCAACACATGCAGGGTGCCGTGGTAGCCTGAATAAGAAGGTGCCTCACTGAGTCTCCTGCTGATAGAAGGCCCCACTTTGCTGTTGTGTGTGCACCACAGAGAGGTGCAGCAGGAGGAATACCATTTCTGAAGGAGATGGGAGAGGGAAGTATCAGACAGACAGTATCTGACAGAACACAGATCACTGGTCTCAAACAAGAGACTGAAGGTCTTGTTGATCTGCTCTCTTTGCTCCTCAGAGGGCTTTTCAAACATTTTAATTGGTTACCGACATTTAAAAATAAAGAGAATTGAGCTGTACCTCAGTGGTAGCGTGCTTGCCTAGCATTCATCCAGCTTGGGTTCAAGACGCAGAACTGCAAAAGCAACAACAATAATAATTTAAAGAGAATTTGCGTAAATCTCAATTTCTGGCGTCTGTCAAAAATTTGGAAGATTAGCAACACTGCTCACTTTTGACCTGATGTGAGTTCAGAGGAGCCAGGAGCTGCTCTCTGTAGGCGGGCACAGACCCTCTGTGTTGTGGCAGTCGGTACTCTCCCTGTTTGGTCTCATACTCCTGACTCCTGAAGGTATTTGAGTTTGAGGCTCTTGGCCTAGACTCCCTCAGACTTTTCCCAGGCTCTTTTAAGCATTAAAAGGATACAGTCATTCATTCCACAAATATTTTTCAGTGCCCATTATATTTATTTTTTTCCTTAAATTCTTTTATTGGTACATTGTAGGTAAACAATACATTTACATTTCTCATTGGGAACTTATACCTTTACATGATGTATCTTGGTTCTTATTTTTTCCCCATTCCCTGCCCTCCCTTCACCCCCTCCATCCCTCCCTATTTACAAAGACTTTGTTTCCATTTTTTCCATTTCTCATATTTTCTCCTTTCCCTTCATTCCTTCCCCCTACCCTTCCCATTTCCCCTCCCCCTTTGCCCCTTTTCTTCCTATTTTGCATTATCAACTATCCATTTTAATCATTGGTACATTTTAGGTATACAACATAATGACATCCATTATTGGAAATTTGCACCTTTACATACTCTCTCGGTTCTTATTTTTCCCCCTTCCCCTCCCCTCCCTTCACCCCCTCCATCCCTCCCTATTTACAAAGACTATTTCCATTTATTCATTTTCTCATATTAATCCCATTCCCTTCTTTCCTTTACCCTACCCCTCCCATTTCTCCTTCCCCTTTGCCCCTTTTCTTCCTATTTCACATAATCTATTATACCTTTTAGTCCTTATTTACACTTTCAGTTTCTCACACTAGAGAAACTATTCGGTATTTACATGTGTGTCCTATTTATTTCACTTAAGAGTATTGCCTCAATGTGCATCCATTTAGCTATAAATGACTCTAATTTCTCATTTTTTATGGCTGAGCAGTACTCCATTTTATTAAAAAACCACATTTTCTTTATCCAGTCTCCAGCTGATGAGTGCTCATTATATTTAAAGAGCTGAGCTAAGCTCTGGGAAGTACAAGAAATGGGGTAAGCTCTGGCCCCTGCCCTGAGTCTGCTCATATCATTTTCATATAAGTGAAAAGATTTTTAAAATTCTCAAGACAGTAGGCAATGGATAATGGGCTCTAAAAAGTTACAAAAGCTGACTGGTGTCTATAGAGTAGCCTGAGTCAATCACCAAACCATGTGGGCATAAGACACCTTCTGGACAAAGCTGAGTCACCGAAGACCAGGCCCAGCACCAGAGCTGTTACACACCAGAAATGAAAGGAACAGGGAGGTTCTTCTCAGGATGGAAAAGACAAAACATAGCCAAAACCAGCCTAGTGTAAAGAAAATGCTAAATGTACCCAAGATTTTTTTCTTTGTCTCTAGTTCTTTTCCTGAACTGTGGGTTATCTACTTTATTTAAAACCTAGTAACTAGCCAGGCTTGTTGGTGCACACCTGTAATCCCGGCATTCCGGAGGCTGAGGCAAGAGAATCACCACAAGTTCAAGGCCAGCCTGGGCTACAGAGTGAGACCCTGTCTCAAAAAAAAAAAAAGGTCTAATAACTAGAGATTCTTCACTCATCATTGTTGATAGTTTTTTCTTTATAAAGTTAGCATTTTAGAGGAATGCCATAGTAACCACCTGGAGAAAGCTGTCCATCCTATCTCAAGTTTACAAGTGGAAGATTCCCAAATTGCTCTGTGTCATTCTAGGGGACATTACCAGCCTTGAAGAAGCTATTACTTCATCTGGAATCTGCAAGTGAGGATAAACATTATAATGGATTGTCTCAAACATGAGCAGAAGATTTTGCTGAGATCACCAAAACTAAGTGAATAAAAAAGTTGCACAGGCTTTGTTAACAAGGAACACCATGGAACTGTGAAATGTAGAAAGAAATTCACATTTTCTCCTTTTTTGCAAATGAAGAAATACTGAGATTCAAATCTGATATGACTTCAACTGAGATTCAAATATTTGATGCTAGAAGGACTTGGGTCTAGAAGGACTTTCATCCTCTTCTTTCTCCTCCACTTCTCCTTTCTCCTCCCCCTCCCCCTCCTTTTCCTTCCCCTTCTCCTCCTTCCTCTTCTTTTCCTTTTCCTTGTCCTCCTTCTTCCTTAGCCACAAAAGTAAAGACTGTAAATCTGCATAGCCAAGAATTTAAAGGTCCAATTACATCTGGTTTTTATTTTCTTTAATGATTCATTCTATTCATGTCACATTTAAAATATAGCATTCCAGTATTTGTTTTTATGAATAGTCTCTAGTTAAGTTTAAAATAATAGAAAACTGATTTGCATGATTGTTATTTCATGTCATACCCATGATGTGTAGTCCAGGAGAGGAATCCAAGGAAGGCTGTGCTCCCACCACTCCAGGAAGCATCCATGAAAAAAGGGGGTGTTTGTGAGGACCCATCAAATGGCTGCAAAGCTGACAGAAAAAATTAACACCTGAGATTCTTATTATCAAAAGGAAAAATCGTTAAGTGAAAAATATTCACACTGCCTATTTCAGGCAAGGGTCAGTTTTAGACAACTTATACAGAACATTGTTTCTACCCCCTAAGAATTTTATCCTCTACTGTGTAGCATCCTTAATCCCAGCTGGTGAGGACTGATAGTGTGAACTTTGTATTCAGGTAGTTATTCAACAAAAATTTACTCAATTTAAATATTTGGCTATTGGATATTTACTTTTCACTTATCAAAACTATAGGCTCTTCTTTATGTCCCCCTGTATTACCCCATTTTCTTTTGGGTTTTTTGGGTTTTTCTTGTTTTGTTTTGTTTTTGGCACTGGGGATTGAACTTGGGACCTTTCGCTTGCAAGGCAGGCACAGGAACCACTGAGCTAAATCCCCGGTCCATCCCACTTTCTTTTGCTGATAACACAACCCTAAAGACTGGATGACTTATGAAGAACAGAGCTTTACTTTGGCTCAGAGTTTTTGTCCAAGGTCAAGAGGCTGCATCTGGTGATGACCTTGTCGCTGGCAGAGTCCCGAGATGGTAGAGGGCATCGCATGGAGAGAGACAAGGAGTAAGTGTATGTGTCCAGGTCTCTCTCCCTCTTCTAAACCCCCACCCTGATGCCTTTATCAAATGCTAATGAGCTCCCAAAGGCTGAAATTCTGAACTATATAGTCAAACTAAGTTCGCCCTCTAAATATTTTACAATAAGAAGAAAAGTCCAAGATAAATTTTTTTTTTTTTTTTTTTTTAGGTACCAGGGATCGAACTTGGGTCCTTGCGCTTGTGCAGCAGGCAGCAAAACCACTGAGCTAAATCCCTGGCCCTAAGATAAATTTTAGAAGAAATAAAATGTATAAAAACCAAGCAGCCCCTATAGCAACGTAATATTTCACATGAACAAACCAAGCACTAGTAGAATGTCTTCTTGCTTTTGTCTCTTCTTAGTGAAATGTACTGGCAAACAGTCTATGGGTAGGCTGGAAAATTGTAATATTCTTCACAGGGAAGACTACTCACATATACAAAGAGAGTTCTTGCCAATGTGCCACCTTCTGTCCTCAGGCCTTCAGCATCGTCTTCCAGAAGGCTGTGGAGAGGGCTACTCCTGATGAGAGCCTCAGGGAGCGGGTGACCAATCTAATAGACAGCATAACCTTCTCTGTGTACCAGTTCACCGCCCGTGGGCTCTTCGAGCGTGATAAGCTGACCTACCTTGCTCAGCTCACCTTTCAGGTAAAAGTGAATTGAAAAAGTTTCCAAAAGACTGTTCTTTTTTAGTGTCCAACCAGCAAATGTTTTTAAAATTCCTCTTTTAGGACTAAATGTGTAATAGGTAATGTGAAATAGGAAGAAAAGGGGCAAAGGGGAAGGAAGTGCGAGGGCTAGGGGAAAGGATAGAAGGGAATGGGATTAATATGAGCAAATGGAAAAATAGGAAGAAAATCTTTGTAAATAGGGAGGACTGGAGGGGTTGAAGGGAGGGCTGGGCAAGGGTGAAAAATAAGAACCAAGAGAGACTATGTAAAGGTGCAAATTTCCAATGATGAATGTCATTATATTGTATACCTAAAATATACCAATGATTAGAATGAATAATTGATAATGTAAAATAGGAAGAAAAGGTCCATAAGTGGTAGGGGTAGTGGGAGGGGCAGGGGAAAGGAAAGAAGGGAAAGGAAAAATGATGAGAAATGGAAAAAATGGAAATAAAGTCTTTGTAAATAGGGAAGGGTGGAGGGCGTGAAGGGAGGGCTAAGAATGGGGAAAAAATAAGTACCAAGATGCATTATGTAAAGGTACAATTCCCAATGAGAAATCTAATTGTGTTGTATACCTACAATGTACCAATGAAAGAATTTAATTCAAAAAATTCCTCTTTTAATATTACTTCCTAAAGTCCAGACTATGTGTGGGTAGTGACATCAGGCAAGAAGGTCCAATATGGTCCATGCATGTTAGCCCACCATCATACCAACCATGGAGGACATACTTAATCAAATCATTGTACTTTTTCTTGCTGACCCTGAATGATGTAAGAGCCTTTTGAAAATATTCCTCCAGCAGCTACTATGAGGCAATCAAAACTGGTACTGAAGATGATACTAGGTGGTCATACTAACAATGAGATGCTTTTCAGAGACCTTAAGAACTTTAGCTCCATCGATATTTATCCATCTTTAGACAAGCTTCACTGACCCAACTTTGCCAGGGATAAGACATCACATAGAACTTTCTATAGGTGGAATAGCCATAGCCTTAGAAAATTTTCAACAGCTGTGGTTCTCAAAAACTAGCAAACATCAGGCATCTTTAAGAGCTTCCGTTTAATCTCAATATCAAAAATTTACTTCCTTGTACTATCCCCCTAATCATTAACAATTTTTCAATAAACATGTTGTTATTACAGGCTAGATTATCTCAAAGTTCCCTTCCAATTCTAAAATCAGATATTCTGTTGTTATTTTGTGCTGACTCTTTTTGCATGTTCCAAAGCCTGAGTTCATAGGTAAACTTTAACATGCCTATACCCCTCACCCTCTGTACTCCCAACTCCAGCCCAGACAACAGCTTGGCCTTCTCAAAAGATGGGCTCCTACCTCTCACTGAATCATATCTCTAATCAAGCCAAAGGCTTTGCCCTTTCTGTACAGTTTTTTAATTCCCCGTCCAATCCTCTGCACTTTCCATCTCTCCCTTTCTGTCTGAAGATTCCCATCTCCAGCTTCTCTATGACCCAGTTCAAAAGTACTTATAAAAAGTTTAATCAAATTAATCCCTTCCTTTCACTGGCCTGCTGGTCACTTCCTGTCATATTATTGATAAAATCATCATTATTACTGTGAAATGGAATCTCTTCCACATTACTGATTCATATATGCATTTCTATTTTGCATATATTCTTGGGTTACTTTGACACTTTCCTCAAATCATGTCATCTGTATGTATCATCTGCTAAGTTGAATTGCAGGCACATTTTCAGTAGCATTTATGATGGATAAATAATAAATTCTCTCTAAACAAGATATATAGTCATCCATTGTGGGGATTTAAGTCACTCTGATATTTGGGTGGATCTGACATTAAACAGATCCATACAGAAATATTTTTCATAAACATGCACTTTCTTCATCTCCGTTCTCTTTAAACAACCAAAATTAATGGACAAGTGCTAGTGCTAGAGGCAGCAATAATTACACTGAATGACAATGCCTAAGATCTCCAGAACCCTGTGGTCTACACAAACTAAAGAAACGTTGTTTCTCCACATACAGATTCTTCTCATGAATCAGGAAGTCAATGCAGCAGAGTTGGATTTCTTGCTTCGATCTCCAGTGCAGACAGGCACACCCAGCCCAGTGGAGTTTCTCTCCCATCAGGCCTGGGGAGCCATCAAGGTTAGTACTGGGCCCTAGAAAAAAATAAAGTGCTCATCTCTTAAGAGTTTTTCCCTGACACTTGTCCCCAGAACATCTGAGGGGCTGTCTTTTGGAGTTCAAGCATGGAGCTGTGTTGTGCATAGGTGCATCATTTTCCCTGCACCTCCACAGCAAGCTCATCCTTCCTGCAGCTGCAGAGAGGGAGCAGATGCTTTCTGCTGTGTGAGGGCTCTGCCTCCAGCATGGAAGGAACAGAAGGTCCTTATGAGCTTTTTGTAATTATCTGAGCTGCCTTTCACCTGCCAAGGCTTAGGGCTAAAATATGGGCTCTTTGGTGAGTCCTTGGGATGGGGGTGGAGATTCTGCCAGAGCTTTCCAGAGAAGGACCAGGTCACAGGCTATGTTCAGGAATCTCCATGTGAATGCAAACTCAGACTCTGAGCAGGAGCTGTGTTCCAGCCTGGGATCTTGTGTACTGATTGCCTCAGAAGTGCACTATCTAATTTCCATTCTCATGTGCAGCTGGGCAATAGGTATTATTTGTTCCCATTTAACATGTGCAGAAACTAAGGCTCCACCACTCATGAGTAGCAAATCCAGGACACACATCTGCTGTATGTTGGATGGCAAAGTCCATTTTCATTCCATGTTGTGTGGTGCAGTTATTTGGAATTCTATGAATGTTGAAAAGATCACAAGCTTAGAAAGTTCCCTCAGTCAAGACTATGCCTGCATTCTGAGAGCCTGACATGATACCTGGCAAGAAATAAGTGAATGCCAGCTCTAGAGAGCCCGGGCCCACTCTCCATGTGGACACCTCTCCAGGATACAGCTGAATGGGCCCCTTGCACTAGCATCTGCACACTATGAGTCCTATTTATGATTTTCTATTTTTGTTGCATTTTAAAGATGCTTAATAGCACAAAGAAATTATATACATATTATTGGTGGCTTTCTCTTTATATTTCTTACTGTTTTTAAATTCGGAGGTATTTTGTATTCATAGGCAATTGTAAGAAATAATAGAGATATCACTTGTACCCAGTTTCCTACAATGTTAACATCTTAAATACTGTAGTATATTAACATGTTCAGAAAATTTACATTGATATATCCACCAATTTTATTCTGACTTCACCAGTTTTACATGCACTCCTGTGTATTCATGTATGTTTCACTTTACAATGTATAGATTTGTGTAATCACTACCACACTCAAGATACAGAATAAGTTCTACCTATTCCACTGCTGGTGGGAGTGCAGACTGGTGCAGCCACTGTGGAAATCAGTATGGAGATACCTCAAACAACTAGGACTGGAAGTCCCATTTGACCCAGTTATTCCCCTGCTGGATATCTTCCCCAAAGAATTAAAAGAATCATACCACAGTGATATATGTGCACTTGTGTTCATAGCAGCACAATTCGTGATAGCTCGAACTTGGAAACAGCCCAATTGCCCATCAACTGGAGACTGGATAAAGAAAATTTGTGGTTTTTCTATAAAATGGAGTACTACTCAGCCATAAAGAAGAAACTAGAGACATTTATAGCTAAATGGATGCACATTGAGACAATACTCTTAAGTGAAATAAATAGGACACACGTGTAAATACCGAATAGTTTCTCTAGTGTGAGAAACTATAAGGGTAAAAAAGGGTCAAAAGATACAATAGATAATGTGACATAGGAAAAAAAGGGGCAAAGGGCAAGGGGAAGTGGGAGGAGTAGGGAAAAGAAAGAATGGAATGGAATTAATATGACAAAAAGAGGGGCCGGGGATTTAGCTCAGAGGTTCCAGCATCTCCCTCGAAAACGCAAGGTCCCGAGTTCGATCCCCGGTACTAAAAAAAAGAGAAAAAGAAAAAATGGAAACAAAGTCTTTGTAGATAGGGAGTGGTGAAGGGGTGAAGGGTTGAAGGGAGGGCAGGGGAATGGGGGAAAAAAAAGAACCAAGATGCATTATGTAAAGGTGCAAATTTCCAATGATGAATGTCATTGTATTGTATACCTTAAATGTACCAATAAAATTAATTTTTAAAAAAAGATTCAGAAAGTTCTAGCATTAGACAGATTTCTAATGTTGGCCTTTTATAATCACATTGTCCTCTCTAATTCCTAATACCAACCAACCACCAATCTCTTCTCCATTGTGTAATATTTTTCATCTCAAGGATGTTATTTAAATGAAAATATATAGCATAAATATATTGCCTCTTAACTCAATATAATTCCCTTGAGAACCATTAAAGCTGATTTACTTTATAACAAAAGCCCAAAACTTAATCATTTACATGCAATGCTGTTTCCATTAAAAGAAGTCACCTTAGGGAATTCTAGGTTAATTCCACTAAAGCTACCATTGCTCAAAATATTTCAAATTTCTTTTTCAGGGTCTGTGGGTATTCTTTTTTTTAATTAATTAAGTTAATTGGTACATTTCAGGTATATATAATGATCACGTTCATCATAGGGAATTTGTACCTGTATTTGATATATCTTGATTCTTTTTTTTTCCTATCCCCCTACTCTCCCTTCAACCCCTCTTCCCCTCCTTATTTACAAAAGATTTGTTCACATTTTTCCTTCTTTTTTTCATTTTTTTCCTTTCCCTTCCTTCCTTTCTGTACGTATTTTTAAAATAAGTTTTAGAACTGTATCTAAATCAGAGTCATCAATTTTTTTTCCTCTAAGGGGTCACATAGTTAATACTGTATTTAGGCAACTATTGAACCATCCTAAAGTTACATACATCAATAGATATGGCTGAATTCTTATAAAATTTTATTTTTTAAAATTAATTTTATTGGTACATTTGAGGTATACAATATAATGACATTCATCATTGGAAATTTGCATCTTTACATAATTCATCTTGGTTCTTATTTTTTCCTCACTCTGCTACCCTCTCTTCAACCCCTCCACCCCTTCCTATCTTCAAGGACTTTGTTTCCATTTTCTCTTTTTCTCATATTAATTCCATTCCCTTCTTTCCTTTCCCCCTACCCCTCCTACTTCCCCTTCCCCTTTGCCCCTTTTCTTCCTATTTCACATTATCTATAATACCTTTGAGTCCTTATTTACATTTTCAGTTTCTCACACTAGAGAAACTATTTGGTATTTATACATGTGTGTCTTATTTATTTCACTTAAGAGTATAACCTCAATGTCCATCCATTTAGCTATAAACGTCTCTAGTTTCTCATTCTTTATGGCTGAGTAATACTCCATTTTATTTTTTAAAAAAACACACATTTTTTTTATCCAGTCTCCAGTTGATGGGCAATTGGGTTGCTTCCAAGTTTGAGCTATCATGAATTGTGCTGCTATGAACATGGGTGCACATATATCGCAGTGGTATGATTCTTTTAATTCTTTGGGGAAGATACCCAGCAGGGGAACATCTGGGTCAAGTAAAAGACAAGGTAGGGGGTATCACAATCCCCAACTTGAAACTATACTACAAAGCTACTGTGATTAAAAACAGCATGGTGAGCCGGGGATTTAGCTCAGTGGTTCCGCCACCTGCCTCTCAAGCAAAAGGACCCATGTTTGATCTCCAGCACCAAAAAAAAAAAAAAAATAGCATGATAGTGCCAAAGAAACAGACCTGAGGACCAGTGGAACAGATTAGAAGATGCTGAAACAACTCCAAACACACTCAGCCACCTCATCTTTGACAAAGGAGCCAAACACCCTCACTGGTGGAAAGATGGCCTCTTTAATAAATGGTGCTGGAAAAATTGAGTTTCAACTTGCAAAGATTAAAACTAGACCTATATCTCTCACCATGCACTAAACTAAAATTTTATTTATTAAAATAGGTAACAGGCCAGATGGGGCCTGCAAGCTGGAGTTTACTGATCTCTGATGTAAATAATAATGATAGGGGTGTAATTTGATTTTTATTTAATTTCATTCATCATTCTGGACCCAATCTGGTGAATTAGAAGGGAAATAATATATTAAGAAAGAAACAAGAAAAGATTCCATTCCCAACAGCAGCCAAAAATCACACATATACAAAATATCTAGTAATAACTATAGTAAGTGCAGAGATCTGGAATACCATCAAGTTTCCTAGACCTCATATAATATGACTAAATAAATACATTCTAGTGTAGTCCTGTCCAAAAGAAATCTAATGCATGTCACACACGTTATTTGAAACATTCTAGTAGCCACAGTAAAGTGTAAAAAAAAAAGGATCAAATTAGTTTTAATAAGATAAATAAGAATTTTCCTTACCTCAATACAAGAAAAATATTTTCATTTCAATATGCAACTGTTATAAACTTGTTACATGGCTCTCTGTCACTGTGACCAAATAACTGAAATAAACAGTTTAATTGGAAGAAGTGGGTACTTTGGTTTACAGTTACAGAGGTTTCAGTTCATGGTTGCCATGGTTGCCTGGCCCCACTGTGTTAGAGCTTACACTGAGGTAGTACATCATGACATTGTGGCAGAAGCATGGGATGAAGGAAAGCTGTTCACCTTATGGCCTCCAGAAAAACAAAATGAGGGACCGGGGATTTAGCTCAGTGGTTCCGCCACATGCCTCGCAAGCACAAGGTCCCAAGTTCAATCCCCAGTACCAAAAAAGAAAAAAGAAGAAGAAGAAGAAAAACAAAATGAGTGAAAGAAAAGAGCCTGGAGTCCCTGCAAAGCCCCATCCTCAGTGACCTAACTTCTTTCCACTAGGCCCCACCTTCTCAAGGTTCCACCATCTCCCAACACCATTACTGTTGTGCAAGCAAAGATTTAGCACATGAGTCTTTGGGGAACGTTTTAAGATTCAAACTTTAACAAATATTAATAAGACATTTTATATTTTTGCACTGAGTCCTCAAAATCTGATGGGGTTATTGCTGTTGATTTGTTTGTTTTGGTTTTGTTTTCATTTTCAATTTTGTTTTTTGTAGTACTGAAAATTAAACCAAGGGCCACAGCCCTTTTTACTTTTTATTTTGGAACAGAGTCCTGCTGACACTAATTTGCCCAGGCTGGGCTCCGACT